CAATTTTTTCCAAGGCGAAGGCAACAGAAAACATTGATTTGAAGCAAATTCCACTGTTCGTTAAAGACACAGGTTGTAAGTAATTTGTTTGCTTCCGAGAAAGCGCTCCATCTGGAGAGTCGCGAGAATAAGCGCGCTACGTATTGTTTTTAATGATAAAGTTTCGTCCTACCAGCAGTTACTACATAATTCAGGAGAAGCAACTCTATACAACCAAAGGATACAAAATATGTTAATCACTATCCAAATGTTTGAACTATGAAAGTTTTCCTAAATATCTTAAAGACATGCTTACTTTGCGTCAGCCTTTGTACTCTTCTAAAAGAACTAATATTCTATCACTATGTAAACCTGCTACTACTACTTACGGCCTCAACTCTTTTCGTTACTTCGCATCTAAGAAATGGAACTCCCTACCTAATGTAAGATCTGAGCCTACATTATCTGGTTTTAGAAGACTCCTGAAAGCAGTTTCCTTTCAGACGTGACGGTATATTTAACATTTTTCATACATGTAAATACATTTTTATGTATTTAAATAGATTTATTTTATGTATGTAAATAGATTACTCTTTTCTTTTTTTTTTTCTCTCGAAGAAATTAGCCTTTCAGGCTACTCTGAAATTCGAGTATAAATAAAGTTCATGTTTATGTTTTTTTTTTTATGTTTTCAATTTAAAATTCTAACATGACTCCGAGGCTTTAGGGTCCAAATTGCAAATTTTTCACGACTCCATTGTCTCGCAATTCCCAGACGAGAATTGAGCCCAAATAAAACCAAACCAAATATAGAAAAATGACTAGAAAGCCTCCTAGAGTCATGTTAGAATTTTAATATATCGAACGTGCCTATTATTTCTCACTTAATTGTGTCAATAACAAAATTCGTCAATCTGATTGGTTCTCAGTCCTGGTTCTCAGTAGCCCTTATCGATTGCTTAATTTGGCTGAGACAGCACCAGAACTGTCCAATTTTAGCTTTTCGATTAGATGCTTGTGATCGAACATATCAAATCGGACAGCTGAACAGCCAATGAAAATCGAGCATCAAATGTTGCCAGCCAATAAGAATTAACAAATTAGTCCATGCTAGCAAATCAAAGCCAACGAAAAAACTTTAGTGGGCAATTTTGCCAGCTTCATTTTGACACATCAGATTTTTTAAAAAAAAAATGTATTGAAAATAGTTCATGCAATTTGAGCTCCATATTCCAAAATTTTAAGCCATGTTTTTGCTTTGGAAGGTGTAAGCTGATGTAATGAGAAGTTTGTACTTTAATAAGTATTCCAATCCTGAGATTCTCGCACTTTGTAATTGATACAATTCAACACTAGTGAAAACACCATAACGTACCATAATATTCTTTGCTGGTCACTCCAAAATTTTGCATAAGCATGGCCCCAAGAGAAACTGAAAACAATGCT